CATGTATCCAGATGAGCTTATTTAGCTAACACATGAGGTTTTATCATGGCTGACAGGAAGGGGGACAGTTGGAACACCTGACTTTTCATCTTCAAAGACAAATAGTGAAGAATGTACATGCTTTAATCATCTGTAAATGGTTTTAACTATTAACAAACAGATGTTAGTTTATTGTTTTAAATTTGGTTTGTCTAATTCAAACCATCTCTGAGGAACAGAGTCAAATGTAACAAGCGTTGCAACCGTCCCCGGTCGGCCCTAATATGTGCAGATAGTTTGTCATGGGTGGAGTGTGTGCTGTAGAGATAAGAACCGTCAGCCTGTTCCTCCTGAAGGAGGAGTGAGGAGATGCCTCCCAGTGACAGTTTGCAGCTGATGCTGAGTGAGACGACAAATTATGACATCATTAACTGGTCCTGTGTGCACTTCCTCCACTGGGTACCATGGCAACAAGAGAGACATGCCGGCCGGGGGGAGGTTATCATATTGATGCAGTTTCCTCCTTCAGCTCACAGTCACACCCCCTTTTCCCCCCTCCTCACTCTCATGCTGCCCCCTCCTCTGGTGAACTACTTCCCTTTACTCTGCCTCATCCTGAGATCAGCCAATCAGAAGGACCAGTGGGGGCAGGGCTTAGCAGAACCACCATTCCTGTGCAAAGCAGTAACATCTCCCTGGAGCTAACAGGGAGTTAGCAACTCAGAGGGGGGAGGCAGAATAAATGCAAGCCTGTGTGTGAGTGTGTGTGTGTGTGTGTGTGTGTGAGGGAGTGTGTGTGTGAGGGAGTGTGTGTGTGAGGGAGTGTGTGTGTGTGTGAGGCACTGAGTATTGCCTGTAGCAGACTAGCAGGCAGGACTGCTGCTGTACTCTTGTTTTACCAGACCTCTCTCTCCTAACCCTGTCCAGTTGCGCAGGTTAGGCCTGCTTCTTCCCTCACTGCAGGATAAAAGGATCAGTGTAGCAGAGGTAAACAGACGACAGGCGTCCTTCTCCTCCTCCTCTTCTACCACTTCATCGCTGACAGCTCCTGGCGGACGTGCAGGCAAGATGATAGCGGCTCAGCTTCTGGCCTACTACTTTACTGAGCTGAAGGATGATCAGCTCAAGAAGGTGAGAGGAAGCAGCTTTACAGCTGAACTGGACAGCAGCCCAAACCACAGCCACAGACCAGTTAACGTTAAAAGCATTGAGTTGTTTAAAGGTTTATCGTGGTTTGAACAGTTGGATGGCTACTGTAGCTTTTCAGAGCTAAACGATGAGTAATGAATGAAATCTAATTAGGATTTTAACCCGTACTGGTTTACTGAAAGGTTACTGGTATTTGACACTGATGTCCTTGAGCAGGGCTGTGGTGTGATGGTGGCGATGTGTTGCAGTGTGCAGTACATCGCCACCATCAGGGTTACCGGTGCACTGGTTGCCATGGGGTCCAAATTACACWTGAGTTATGAAAAGTTATATGATATAAAATCACCTGTAATCCTTGCTTTCATTCCCACCCTCATTATTTTACAGCTGTTTCTGTTTCTCTATAAAGGCAACAAATGAAATAGATTAAATCAGACTAATTACAGCTGGAACTGATCTTGGTTTCAGTTTAAAGACTGATGATGGGTGGGGTCAACAGAAACTGGTGTGGGACTGAACCATTTGTAGCATGTGACGTCACAATGAACACACACCTCTACTGAGACAAGTTAATGTGTGTGTGCAACACTATAACTTATTTCTACAATGTTTTACTCATCAAAACATCTGCTTCTGATGTTCTGTATATTTAAGAAACAGTTTCTTATTGTGATAACAATGTAAAATTAAAGATACAGCATTCCTTAAAGTAATGTTTATCATCCACTGCTGTTCAGGACAAAGTTTTAGACTAATCTTGTGTTCAGAAATGAKGGAGTKTTAACTGCTTTGGTCAAACCTTGAAAACAGCATTATATGCAATTACATRCAATATTACAAAACGTGATGCAGAGCATGTGTTGTGACTGACTCTCAGCTAGTACCAGATATCTGTCAGAGTGACTGAACTGTAGCCAGTTGACAAGTGTCAACTKATTCTGATGAAAACATTGAACAGATCATGCAAACAAAAATACAAACCTAGTTTTTTCTAAGTTATAGTTGAATTTGGACAAAACATTGCATAATATTTAGTAACAGAAGAATATACTGTATGTTGAAGCCCCATTCAGAGTAGTATTGAAAATAATAGTCAGTGAAATTAAATTTTTGGGTGTTATTTATGAGAAGCTGACATGGAGATGTCACATTAATTACTTMAGAAAGAAAGTAGCAAAAAAATATTGCAATGCTATATAAAGCGAAAGAGTTCTTGAATGATACAGCGTACATACATATAATTCAGTGATTGTACYGCATTTTTGTGTTGAAGTTTGGGGAAAAGCATGTTAAACAATTACAAATTTTATTTATATTTTACAAAAAAGAACTATAAGAATTGTTMCCTTAGTAGAAACTGTTATTGTCATCCAACAAATATGTTATTTCATCAATTGAAATTATTGAAGTTTTATTATAGTACACAACAAAAATGCCAGTGTTAAAGGGATCCATGATTAGCTGTAACATTAGACTTTATTTAATAAATAAATAAATATATATATATTTTAACTGTAAAACAAAGACTGTAAAAATACTGTAGGATGCTCAGTTTTTATAATTTTTAAACTAAAAGTTTAAAAATATAAAACACGGATGGAGCCATTTTATTTGCACACAAAGCATTCTGGGTAAATGATGACRTGGATAGGTCCTCRGTGCGAGGCTGCTAGCGAGCTATATCCACCCTGAAGGTTAATCTTGGACAATATCTGATGATCGACTCTTTTAAATGAAACCAGAGAGCGTTGACAGAGAGGAGAAGGTAGAAATGACTCAGCCTGGAACTGAAAATATGGATGGAGGACAACAGAGCTGCTTCATGGAAGAACAACCTCASATTAGCCTGTTAGCTTTAGCGCCAACGCTGTATTGTCTGAAATGTATTATTTCAGAACCAACAAAKTGTCTATATGTGTCCACACTCAATGGTGTTAAAATAACATTTGTGAAAGTGTTAAACTTTAACACCCATTATTTGTTAATTCAACACAAACCAGTGTTTAATATTCAACAATACTGGGTGTCACATTAAAAAAATTGTGTCAGTGTTATAGTGTTAAAAGTAACACCAGTGTATTTCTATTAACAAAGGAAATTATGGTGTTAAAAAGGTTAACAGACACCACAAGGTGTCCATAAATTTTAGAGTGTAAATTTAACACTCAGAKTTATTATCCAACTCTTTGTTGTGTTGTGTTAATACTACTCAATGGTTAGTAGAAAAGTACAATGGAGTCACCCTTCACACACCAGGACATAACTCTCACTCATGRTGTCGATTTATGGCCAATAACACAAACTTAAACTTGAACAACTTGATCAAACTGAACAAGAAAAGTAACCAGAACAACTAATTTTTACTCTCATGAGCTACATGCAAAAACATAATTTATTCAATTTTTCTGAGCAAAAGGTGTGAATCAGGGCCYCAACGATAACCAACACAGAGGAAAAAAAGGACAAAAACAAGGGGACGTTGAGCCCCGCCTGCATTCACTACATACACATGACACGACACCTAAGAACCACAGCATCCAAACCAATAAGTCAGGTGATGGGGCACATAACCTTCTATGAACAATAGAACTAATCAAGCCTATTGTTAGGCGATGACCCTCTTTTACATGTGACTAACCTAATTGTCCATGTGGAGGCGGAGCTTATAAGGCTGAGTTCACCTGAAACTCATCAGACTGAAGAAGTCTCTTGGAGGAGAGACGAAATGTTTCACTAAAGAAGAACCATCCAGAGACCTACTGATTTTTTTCTTTTTGATCATTTCTACAAGATTACCCAGCATTAAGTAAACTTTATTTATATAGCACTTTTTACAGGCAAAAACATTGCAAAGTGCTTCACAGAGAGAAAAATTAACTTAAAACAATAAAAACACAGAACAAAAATAATCAACAACAATTAGAACTGAAAAACAATATTTATGTGATTACTTCCTTAATGTTTGATTCTAATCTGCCCAGGTGGTTATAAGATATTTTGCTAACAGAAACACAAAACTGGCTACACATTGTTAATGGAAAAACTTAAAAGAAAAGATATAAGTCGCTCTGTCAGCTCTCAAGTGTGTTGGGGATCAGTCTCAGCTACTACACCACAAAACTTTAGGTCGTCTGTACAATAGGCAGAGCTATGGCCATTTTTGTACTTTTACAATCAGTTCGCTGTCAGTCATCTTGAATTAAATTCTGAAAGGTTTGTGAAAATGTGTCCTGTRGTTAATGAGATATTTTGCTAATAGACAGATTATCAAACCCATGTACAAACTAAAGCAAAAACACTTGCTTGGCACTATCTTTTGGCRCTTGCCTATAACTAAAACTATCTTGGTATACAGCAGGGGTGCCCAACCAGTCGATCGCGATCTACCGGTTGATCGCCGACTGGTTGCCAATCGATCACGAGACTTGTAGAACGCAACCTTGTTTATTTAATGTTCCAGCACTGAAAGCGCTCCCCTGTCCTCCCCGTCTTGTAAATTCTCACAGACGTAGTCCTGTGAGTTTTGGGTGCTGTGAAGCAGCACTCCAAACATGATCTCGCAAGACTTTAGGCTCACGTTCACAGTTAAGTTCACGAGCGCTGCCTTGTCCAAAAAGGATAACGTGGAACGGCATTTCAAAACAATGCACAAACACTACGAGACAGATTTCCCTCTTATAACCGAGCTCAGAGGAGCTGAAAAACAAGCTTGCAGCACAGCATCAATTTTCACTCGGTCCAACAGCAAAGGTAAGGCTGCTACAATAGCCTCATACCGGGTTAGCTGCATCCTGGCTCAACACAAAAAGTTCTTTCAGCGATGACAAAGTTATGATAGAAACGTTTGAGGCTGCAGATGTGTTTTTCCATGATTTTAAAAATAAAAGTGAGATTATGGCTGCTATCAAAGACGTACAGTTGTCGAGGATGGATGACATTGTGTCCAAATTTGTGTCCGTGTTTCTGCTGGACTGCTCTGGTGTTGAAAATGAGGTTTTGACTCTGCAAAATGACATTGGGATCAAATCCAAAGCAACAAGTGGCATGGATGGAGAGTTCTGGAGTCTGCTGTCAGAGGAGAAGTATCCCAACATCAAAAGAGGTGCTTTGAACTTGACAGCACTTTTTGGATCTACCTGTGTGAGTCTGCTTTTTCTCACATGAAAATCATCAAGTCCAAGAACAGATCCACAATGACTGATGATCATCTGGAGACCTGCTTACACCTCACAACCACCTCATACTGCCCACCTATGAGACCCTGGCCTCCTCCTCTCAGTGTCAGAAGTCCCACTAAGGTAGAGACATACATTTATTTTTATATAGCTTGCATAAAAWGTTGTCTCCTATAGACTTGTCACAATGTGTCTGTGTGTTGTTTTTTTTATTACTTTTTAGACCAGACTAGTGCACTGACTGGCACCTTTATGTGTGTTAATTATATATGTAGTTTGCAGTTTTGGTGTGTCCTTATTTTCTCTACCTAACGTGGCTGTGTGCGTCTGTGTGTGTCTGTGTGTGTGTGTTTTGTCTTATAGGTGGTGAACCAGGTGGAGCTCTTTGAATGGTCTGGAGCCAGCAGTCTGGACCAGTGAGGGACTGAGCCTTTCAGCACCTGCAGATGGCACACCATCCTGCATGCTGCACAGAGAGCCAGCTGCCTAGTTTTGATGTTCAGGTTTTGTTGATGTTTAAAATAGTTGTTGGAGATTTGCGAATCTGCACCTTTTGTAAGACACTTTTTGTAAATAGTTAGTATAAACAACAGAGTTTTAAATTGTGTGCTTTGATTTTGAAAAACGGACGGCACTGAAAGACTTCCGCACGGCTTCGAGGCGATTCTGGTCCACCATCCGGCGTCTCAGGAGGGRVAAGCAGTGCAGCACCAACACTGTTTATAGTGGGGATGGTGTGCTGCTGACCT